TGGTTTTTGTGCTTCATAATGAATATCCAAGTCATCCTAGAATAGTCATCTATGATAGAGAGAAAATATCTACCTCCTCCAAGTGAAGGTACTCGAGAGGGCCCCCAACAATCCGAGTGAACATAATCCAAGGTGGACTTGGTGGTGTGTTGAGCCTTTGGAAATTTAATCCTGTGGTGTTTCCCAAAAACACAGTGTTCACAAAACTTGAGTTCTTTTACTGTATGATCTCCCAACAGCTTCTATTTGCTTAGCACCATCATTCCTCTCTCACTCATGTGACCAAGGCGCATATGCCAAAGATGTGTCAAATCTGGTGTATGTTTATCAGCCACAGATACTGATTCTGAGATTAAATTGGTTGATCCTTGAAGCATGTATAGGTTTCCTTTCTTGATACCTCGTATAACAACAGTTGAGCCCTTGCTGATTTCCATCACTCCACCTTCAACATTGCATTTGAAACCTTTTGTATCCAGAACTCCAACTGTGGTTGTCATGCATACTATCATGTAAATGAAGGGAGGCTTGAACCTAGATCTAGGAAAGGTTTGTTCATGGGTTATGGAGATGGAGTGAAAGGGTATATAATCTGGTCACCTTCTAAAAAGAAGATTATTCTTAGTAGAGATGTTATTTTTGATGAATCCCACATGTTTCACCCGAGATTGGAGTTTTCTGTTACAGGAAAGATAGACAATGCAGTCAAACAGGTGGAGGCTGAAACTACTTCAAGTATAACTCAGAACAAGGAGTTAGAAGATGAAGCATTAAAAAATTCTCAAGAAGAACAAAACAAAGATAATGATGTTGATCAGCAAGAGGCAACTTTAAGGACTCAATCTGAAACCGAGCCTAGTCAAAGACCTCGAAGGCAATACAAACCCCCTATGAGATATGGTTTTGAAGACATGGTTGCCTATGCTTTACATGTAGTAGAAGAAGTGGACTCACCCGAGCCTACCACCTATAAGGAAGCTCTAAATCATGAAGATTCAGAAAAATGGATCCTTGCCATGGGTCAGGAAATGGAATCACTTCATAAGAATCAAACTTCAAGAGTGAATGCATAACCTGTGATTGATTTCCTTCCATCCAAATCAGCAGCATAATCTGCATCTGAGTGTCCAGCCAGGTGACAATTTGGGCAGGTTCCATAAATGAGTCCAATGTCTAGTGTTCCTCTCAAGTACCGGAATATCCTCTTGACAGCTTTCCAATGTTCTTTCTATGGTTGATTCAGATACCTGCTCACAACACTGACTGCATAAGCAAGATTAGATCTTGTGCATACCATGGCATACATTAGACTTCCTACAGCACTTGCATAAGGTACTCGTGACATATAATCCAAGTCAGTTTGAGATTGAGTTTGAAAAATAGCTGATAATCTCTCTTTGGTTGACAAATGAGTGCTTAAGGGTTTTGCATTGTTCATTCCAAAACGAAGCAAGATTTTTTTGTATGTATTCCTTTTGTGACAAGAAAACCTTCTTTTGAGTCCTATCTCGGTAGATTTCCATCCCTAGGATCTTTTTGGCAGCTCCTAAGTCATTCATATCAAATTCTCCATTTAGGAGAGTCTTCAGATTTTGTATAACATTTGTGTCTCGGGCAACTATCAGCATATCATCTACATAGAGTAAAAGATATATCATAGACCCATCCTCCACCTTGTTGTGATAAACGCAGCAGTCATAGGGACTCCTCTTGAACCCTTTGCTGATCATAAAGCTGTCAAACCTTTTGTACCATTGTCTAGGTGACTGCTTTAACCCATATAGAGACCTTTGCAGCTGACAGACATAGTCCTCTTTTCCTTGACTCACAAAACCCTCTGGTTATTTCATTAATATATCTTCTGGGCCATTCCAGGCTCTTTAAATAAGGCTAAAACCTATATTTGGAACGGGTCGTTCCCAAATTGGAATGGGCTGTTCCAAATAAGAAAAAGGGCTTGAATTCTTAATGTGGAACGGGCCGTTCCAGTATACCTATAGACGTGTTAATTTTGTCTCTGGAACGGGTCGTTCCAATTTCGGAACAGGCCGTTCCAATTACAAAATTTGCACATAACGGCCATATCCAGAACGGGTCGTTCCAATTTTGGAACGGGCCATTCTGGACCCTGTCTGAAATCTATAAATAGACAGTTTGGACTCATTTCTCGAGATCCCAAAAATTTTGTCCAGAACTCCTTAGAGCACGAAATTTCTCTCTTTTTCTCTCTCCCCCTATCTTTTGTATTTCTTGAGATTTTGTGAGGCATTGTAGTGTGAAAGGTTGCCACAAAGCACCTAAAATCTTCATATTTTGAAGATTCAATAGAGCTCATTCAAGAGGTATTTCAGTTAATTTCTTTCTCCTATTTTTATTTATTTCTTCTCTATAATAAATATTGTTATAATAAAAATAATCATGTAGATATTTTAGATTAACTGTATAATTTAAATTGCAAGCATGTAAATAATTATTAATAAAAAGGAGATTTAATATTTTTATTATTATCATTCATAATGCTAACTTCATAGGGTACCAATTGAGGGCGTTGTAGGGGTGCTTAATACCTTCCCTACACGTAACCGACCCCCGAACCCAATTCTGGTTATCAAGGCCATTATTGGATTTTTAAAAAACTTTTTCTTTTTCTAATGTTTTGAGTAAAATTGGTGGCGACTCCATGAACTCATTTTTCAAAACTATTAATTAAGGATTAGTCTAGCGTCCGGGCATTCCTTAATTGATGAGACTTTTAAAAGGATGTCTAAACCATTAGTCGCGAGATTGAAAATTTTCGGGTTGCGACAAAACCCTTTTTGCCAACGTTGAATATTTTATTCTTTAGTTTATTTACAGGATTTATTTAAATATGTGTTGGGGTAGTAAGGGTGTCACAGTGCGACTAATATAAATTGTATCAACTGCAAATCACTGTACCTCCATTTGCAACTTATCAATCACTTTAATCTGTAACAAATTTCAACCGATTGCCATTTTCCCACCCATATCCCAATTTTTGTTAACCACAATGTCAACAAATCATACTGTCATTATATAATGTATAAACATTTTTCCATCCTTCAACCATTGCAAACAAAACAAATTACTTTAGCCTCAATCCACATTATTTCACATGAGTATGCCTCGTTTAACAAATAATATGCCACTAACAAATGTAATAACGTTCATATACAATCAAACCGCACTAAATAAAAAATTCTTCTGCAGTAAACACTTTTTCATTATTTTTTGTTTCAAATAATTTGTCAACCATATATTATGAATCACATTGGGTCCATCTTCAAATCTCTCATTCCTCAAATTTCACTCAAAACTCAAACCATATAACACACTACTCAACAATAATATTTTTCAATGTAATATAACATTATTACAATAGTTAATTCTGTAACACAATAATGTACAACTTATTCTACCAACACTTTCTACCACAATTACACAACATAGATATCTTCTAATATGGTTCAAAATATATTTTTTTTTCATTCACAATCAATCAATCTTAATATTTCCTTATAAAAAATTCAAAACCATTATTCAACTTCAATCCTTCTAACAAATTACTTAACAAAACTCCAATACCATGCTAAAACAAACAAAAACCGCAAAACAACAACTTACCAAAATCGACCGTACACACATAACACACAACTCTGGTCACTTGCTTCGTCACAAAATACCACCGATTACAAACAAAACCCACTTTTTCCACACATACGACATCGTACCACAAACACACTTTTAACTTTAACAAAACCGATTCATAAATCAATGTCGCAACCACCTCGCCGGAAAACGCCAATTTAACGGTTCAAAAACTCGGCTGAAAAACCACACTATGATAACCTCAGCCAACAAGGGGAATTTTACATTTCAAAAATGCCTTTCAAACAACACATTGCCAATCAACTCCTCCGACAACTTCAACTTTATGGTTTCACACACTACTCATATATTCATTCCATTAAACACTAAACTCAATATTCACACAAAAAATTACTTAAATTAAAACATGATTCATCATTGAAATTTGCCATCCGTATCGTATGTCAAACATCAAACACAAAAATTACTAAACAGCACAATAAAAGCAACTAAACCCTAAATCACATTTTCAAATTACCCACAAAACAAACCCAACCATATGAACAATACTGTTTCCGGCAACACAACAACGAAAAACGTAACTCGAACGTAACACTTACATGTACCACTGACTACCCACAGCTAACCACTCTGACCAAATGCGTCGTCGAAAAATTCTTTCGTCGAAGATGATGATGCTTTACGCCTGACAAACCAACTTCCTTCGCTGGACAACAACAATGGAAAACGAAACCACAACGACTATACGTGCGCTTTCAAAATGGACAGTCGCAACCACGTCGCCAGAAAACGACAATCCACAGCACTAAGCGGAGAGGGACAATTTTACCTTCTTAGCCTTCCGGAGAACAACAACGACTCTTCGTGCACATTCAAAAATCACAGTCACAACCACCTCGACGGAAAACACCAATTTTAGGGTTCAATAACGGGGTAATAAAATTCACAATACGAAGCCCTAAGCGGAGAAGGGCAATTTTACGTTGATAGCCTTCGGTAAAATTACCTTATTGTCCCTTTACAAAATGTTCAACTTTCAAGTCACACCTTTCCAGCTCACAAAATGACTCACCTCATTAAAATCACATGTCAATCTGTTATTAATTTACAAAAAAGGCACCATAACCCCTTGAAATAAAAGGGCACCGGAGTAATAACTTAATAATTTGGTCTTTCTTCATGCCTTTTTAAGTGGTGTGTGCACATATGTGGGTATCAAGGAAATTTATATATTTTTATCACATGAAGGTCACCTCGCCCATGGCGTGGGTATCTTTGAATATTCTTTAATAAAGAAAAGAGTAAAAGAAAAATTTTCAAGTATCTATAAATAAAGACATCAAGTATTCCTAATGATTCATAACCAAGGACTAAGTGACACTAGTTAGTAACGGGGAAAGATGCAAAGAGAAACAATAGTGTTGTACCCAGCCCCAGGAATAGGGCACATCATTTCCATGGTGGAGCTAGCAAAGCTCATCCACAAACACCATTTCTCCACCACCATCCTCCTCACCACCGGCTTCAGGGACCACCCCTCCATCGACGCCTACATTCGCCGCATCTCCGCCGCACACTCCTCCATCTTCTTCCACCGCCTCCCCCACACCGCCGCACCAACCGCCGCCATCAGCCCCGCCGCCAATTTCTTCAGCTTCATCAAAAGAAACGCCCCCAATGTAGCCACCACGCTCACCCAAATCTCGGAATCCGCCACCATCAAAGCCTTCGTAATCGATCTCTTCTGCACCTCCGCAATGGAACCAGCTTCTTCCATGCAAATCCCCGTCTACTACTTCATCCCCTTCAGCGCCGCCGGTCTCGCGCTCTTCTCGTGCTTTCCGAAAATCCACGATGACACGAGCGCGTCGTTTAAGGATATGGTCGGGGTGGAACTGCGCGTGCCGGGTAACGCGCCGCTGAAGGCAGTAAACATGCCGGAACCCATATTGGATAGAAACGACCCTGCGTATTGGGACATACTGGAGTTCTGCACGCACATCCCGAAGGCGCGTGGGATAATAGTTAACTCGTTTCTGGAGCTTGAGCCTGTAGCGGTGAAGGCCCTAGCTGAAGGCGCGTGCTTCCCAAATCCAACACGTGCTCCTTCTGTTTACTATATTGGACCCCTCATCGCGGAACCTCAACATTCAGGTTTGTTTCTTTTTCGTTAAATAATGTTATTTTTTAAATTATTAAGCAGGTTTTAAAATTTTTAAACTATTAGGCAGATTCTGGAACAACGAAAGCACGGTCAGAAATTTTAAAATATTAATATTATATAATAAATTTATTATTGAATAATTATTTAATTTAATATTTTATAATTTAAATTATTTTTAAAAAATTTTGAAATATATTTCAGACAATTCAGTCGGAGGTGAAGAATTTTTCTTTGCAAATTTATAATTTATAAGATGTGTAATCTCGGAATCCGCCACCATCAAAGCCTTCGTAATCGATCTCTTCTGCACCTCCGCAATGGAACCAGCTTCTTCCATGCAAATCCCCGTCTACTACTTCATCCCCTTCAGCGCCGCCGGTCTCGCGCTCTTCTCGTGCTTTCCGAAAATCCACGATGACACGAGCGCGTCGTTTAAGGATATGGTCGGGGTGGAACTGCGCGTGCCGGGTAACGCGCCGCTGAAGGCAGTAAACATGCCGGAACCCATATTGGATAGAAACGACCCTGCGTATTGGGACATACTGGAGTTCTGCACGCACATCCCGAAGGCGCGTGGGATAATAGTTAACTCGTTTCTGGAGCTTGAGCCTGTAGCGGTGAAGGCCCTAGCTGAAGGCGCGTGCTTCCCAAATCCAACACGTGCTCCTTCTGTTTACTATATTGGACCCCTCATCGCGGAACCTCAACATTCAGGTTTGTTTCTTTTTCGTTAAATAATGTTATTTTTTAAATTATTAAGCAGGTTTTAAAATTTTTAAACTATTAGGCAGATTCTGGAACAACGAAAGCACGGTCAGAAATTTTAAAATATTAATATTATATAATAAATTTATTATTGAATAATTATTTAATTTAATATTTTATAATTTAAATTATTTTTAAAAAATTTTGAAATATATTTCAGACAATTCAGTCGGAGGTGAAGAATTTTTCTTTGCAAATTTATAATTTATAAGATGTGTAAATATTATTCTTCTTATTTTTTATTTTTTAAGTAATTCTTCACTATTTTATATTTAATAAATTTAAATATATTTTTATTTTAAAATAAATTTATTTTTAACTTCTCAAATTTTAAATTTATTTTTTTATTTTCTGTAACTTTTAAAATTTTATTTTAATTTTAATATTCAAATTGTATTAAATAATTTTTTTTAAAGATAAGAAAGATTATAATCCTAACAAAAATTAAACCTAAATTTTTATATTTTTAATTATTTCAATTTTTTCCTACTTAATCATTAAACTAATCATTAAATAATTTTTTAGTATTATTATATAAAATTTATCTATTAATATTTAAATTAATAAAAATATTATCTTAAATTTAACTGATATATTATCTCAATACAAGAGAATGATTTAAGAAATTAAAATAAAATTTTTTAATTTATAAAATTAAAGAAATTAATTTTAAATTTTAAAAACAAAATAGAATTATTTTATATTTAAAGAATTAAATTCATATTTAATTCTATTTAAAATACTCTCAAACTTTTCCGTGTTGGCAAATCACTCATCAGAGAACTAAATAAAAAAAATCACTGACTAAGAGATAAGGTTTATCTCAACTGCATCATTGCACGTCCGATTCAATTTATAAATTAACCAAACTTGTTCCATATATTAATTTTATCTAATATCTACTGCATAACACAAAAAAAAAACTAAACCATCATATGATTTGACATTTGAGTCAAACATGAAACCGTGAACTACACATTTTGCTTGGAAAAAAATTATTGCACATTTTCTAACACTTTCTCTTATAAATTTAAAAAATAATTTAAAAATATTAATTTTTTTTTATTTTTTTATTTAATTTCACTTTATCAACCAATTATAAATTTTATTTTATTTAATTTTATTAATTTAAAAATCAACTATAAATCAACTATAAAAAAATCATTTATAAACCTTAATTTAGATCTATCAATCAATTATTAATTTTACTCAATTCTATTATATTTCTTTTATCAATTTTGCATTAAATTAATCCCAAATTATTTCCTAGTCAATTCCTTGCCCTCTTTTTTATGGGTTAAGTTCTGATTAATATGTTAATTTAATTTTCATTTATTGAGTCTCATTTTCAAATCAATAAAACCCACATAAATTTTAATATTGGATCGAATGGGAAAAAATATGATTGCAAAAATTTAGTTGAATTTTTTTACTTGATTTGTATAAAATAGATGCAGCTACGGACAATAAACAATGTTTATCATGGCTGGATGAACAACCACATAGAAGTGTGGTGTACCTGTGTTTCGGAAGTGGGTGGGTTTGTGACTCAAGAAATCAAGAAAATTGTAAACAAACTTGCAGCAATTGGGTCACCTTTGAATACAGCTGAGCACATAGAAGGTATTTTTGATAAATTATCGATCCCTTTATCACTTCTGTTCTTATAAGAACCGAAGAATACTCTGTTGAGCAAATTGAAGCTCTATTGATGGCGCAAGAAGAACGATTGGAAAAACACAAAGGAAGTGAAAGTGTTCCTCTTCAAGCCAATCTGGCTCAAGGCAGTTTCAATACAAAAAAAAAAAATCTCGCAATCAAGGAAGAGGTTTCAATAACAATGACACTCATGGAAGAGGCACTCATAGAGGTAGAGTTCGTGGCAGATCAACCCAACATTTCGGAAGAGGAAATAAGCAACAGTGTCAAGTCTGTGGCAAGATTGGCCATATAGCCTTTCACTGCTAGCATAGGTATGATCAACAATATATTGAACCCAACTTAAATAATAATACTAATGTCTACAACCCAGGAAACCAACAGCAGATGCAAGCCATGTTTGCGGGTTCTCAAAATATGGTATATGATGATCAGTGGTATCCAGATTCAGGAGCCACTAACCATCTCACACCAGATTTGAATAATCTTGGTTCAAAAATTGATTACACGGGACAAGACAAGATTCACATGGGAAATGGTCAAGCAATAGGAATCAATCATACAGGTACATCATTCTTTCATACTTCTATGTCTTCTAAAGTATTTACTTTAAAAAATCTTCTACATGTCCCTCACATCACCAAAAATCTGCTAAGTGTATCAAAATTTTGCAAAGATAATGAGGTATATGTTGAAGTCCACACCAATTATTGTCTTGTTAAATCTCAGGACTCGAAGGAAACTCTACTACGAGGGAATCTTAAAAATGGCCTATATGTCTTTGATGAAGTGCAAATTCTGAAACCTGATGTATATGAGGATACTGTTGATCCTGTTCCTACTAATCTTACTACTCTAAATGTACAAAGGTATAGGGAATCCTATGATGTATGGCACAATAGACTTGCTCATGCCTCTAGGAAAATAGTAAAAGTTGTTATGAAAACTTGTAATGTTCCTCTGCCTATCAATAATAAAGACTCTATCGTTTGTAAATCCTGTTGTATTGGCAAATCACATACTCTCCCATTTTCTTATTCATTTACTGTGTATAATTCTCCTCTTGAACTTGTCTACAGTGATGTTTGGGGACCTTCTCATTATGTATCTAGAGAAGGGTTTAGATACTATGTTCATTTTACTGATGCATATTCAAAGTACACTTGGATCTATTTTATGCATAATAAATCTGAAACTGCACATCATGTCATTCATTTTAAAACTATGGTTGAAAATCAATTTGGAAACAAGATTAAAATGTTCCAATCTGATGGAGGAAAAGAATTTACTTGCCTAACAAAGATTTTTAATGAAAGTGGCATAATACATAGACTCAGCTGTCCTCATAGTCACCATTAAAATGAGACAGCAGAGAGGAAACACAGACACATCACAGAGGTGGGCTTAACTTTGTTATCTTCCTCTGGTCTTCCACATATTTTTTGGTCTGATGCTTTTAGCACTGCTATTCATGTTATAAATAGACTTCCTACACCTATTCTTGGACAAAAATCTCCATATGAAATGCTATTTAAAAAAATGCTAGACTATCTATTGTTAAAACCTTTTGGTTGTGCTTGTTATCCCCACTTAAGACCTTTCAATAGTCATAAAATGGATTTTAGATCATCTCAATGTGTTTTTATTGGGTATAGCATGCAACACAAAGGATATAAATGTTTTACAAGCAATGTAAAAAATTATTATACCAGGAATGTGGTCTTTGATGAAGACACATTCCTTGGTACATCCTATTTCAGCACTAACAATATTGTAGGACTGTCACCGTCTCACGTACCACAAGCCGTGCCAAGTATACATGTTTTGCCATCTCAGTTACTGGCACCCAATTCAGCTACCATTCTTCCATCAACTTCTCCATTTGATGAGTCCCTTCAAAATTCTCCACCCACTTCCACCACTAATACCTCACAGGATAACCTGACCACATCTTCTTCTCAGCCAAATTCACAACCAACTATCACAGCAATAACAGTTCAAGCACCACATGCAACACAAACAACAAATCAACACCCTATGATCACTAGAGCTAAAGTTGGCGTTTTCAAACCTAAAGTCCTTCTTGCTACATCTGAACCAACCAATGCTGTCCAGGCTCTTGAAAACAAGTACTGGAAACAAGCCATGCAAGATGAGTACAATGCCTTAATGAAAAACCATACATGGGATTTAGTCTCCTTACCTCTAGTAAGAAAAGCAATAACTTGCAAATGGATATTCAAGAATAAGTACAAACAGATGGCTCAATCCTTAGACACAAAGCTCAATTAGTAGCCCGAGGTTTCAACCAACAACAAGAACTAGATTATACAGACACTTTTAGTCCTGTCATCAGACTTGTCAGTATTAGAGTAGTTCTTGCTCTAGCAATTTCGAAAGGTTGGCCAATTCATCAAATAGATGTGGATAATACGTTCCTAAATGGTGATCCAAAAGAAGACATCTACATGCTTCAGCCACAGGGGTTTCATAATGGAGCTCCAAATACAGTTTGCAAACTCAGGAAAACACTATACGGCATCAAGCAAGCTCCAAGAGCTTGGTTTCAAAAACTCATTCAAACTCTAATTCGGCTGGGATTTAAACAGGCTAGATCAGATACTTCTTTATTTACCTTTACATCCAAAGTCACTTCTATATACATCCTTATATATGTTGATGATATTATTATAACCAGCAACTCGCCTATAGTTATATAAACTCTGATTCATACTCTTCATAGATCCTTCCCTCTCAAAGATCTTAGCAGTTTTCAACATTTCCTTGGAATCGAAGTCAATTCTGATGGTGCAAGTGGCATTCATCTCTCTCAAACCAAGTATCTTACAGATATTCTTAACAAACTCAACATGTCTAATGTAAAGTCTGTCAAAACCCCCATGGCACCTTCACTCAAGCTAACAAATGATGGGACAACAGTGTACCAGCATCCGAGTCTCTATAGGTTAGTCATTGGTGCCCTGCAATACCTAACCATCACCAGACCATACATAGCTTACACAATAAATAAGTTGTGTCAGTTCATGCATCATCCCCTTGAAAGCCACTGGAAAGCAGCAAAGATACTGCTCAGGTATCTCAAAGGTACTCTACAACATGGATTACACTACAAGAAGTCAAGTGATACTGAAATACATGCATATTGTGACTCGGATTGGGCGAGAGACCAAGAAGACATGAGATCGACATCAGGGAAATGTGTGTATCTAGGGACTAATATAGTATCTTGGATGGCAAAGAAACAAAGGGTTGTATCTAGGTCCAGCACAAAGGAAAAATTTAGAAGTCTAGCAAGTCTGGTCACCGAGATTCAATACATTCAGAATCTGCTTTCAGAACTTCACATCAGCAGCACACAACCACCTCTTATCTGGTGCGATAATCAAGGGGGGGTTCTTCTATCCAGCAATCCAGTCTTACATACTAAAACTAAACATTTTGAGTTGGATTTGTGGTTTGTTAGAGAAAGAGTGGCTCGAGGACAAATTCAAGTCAAGCATATCCCAGCAAGGTTTCAAGTTGCAGATTTATTGACTAAGGCTCCAAGTTCAACTATCTTCCTAGATTTAAGGCACAAACTTACTATAGATAAACAATCCACACTAAGTTTGAAGGGGGATAAAAAGGATATTCAATAGTTAGCTTAATAGCCCTCTCTATTTGTATATAAATAAACTTGTATTATGTTACTCATAACATACAGTCTCATATTTCACATTCAATAACTCTCTTCTCCTGATTGTTCTCTTATAAGGAGGGACTGGAGTAGCAATATTTTTCCAATACCAATTAATGACCTTGTACCAATACATCGCTAAGTCTCAGTTGTGTCTCGTTGATACGAATATAATTACGTTACTAAAATAAATATTACATATATAATGATATAAAAAATATATATCACTATAAATATAATACATGTAAGTATAAATTTATTTAACATATATTTACATATAATTTTAGATTTTTAGTGTTGATTTTAAATGAAATTCAACATATATTATATGTCAGTATAATTTATATTTATACTTTTTAACAATATATTATATATTATAGTGCAAGTAAAAATAAATTTTAAAAACAAATATTATGTTATTATATAAAGTGTGTCATGACAATATATTTTTAGTGAGTAACTCCCAACTAAGAATATCTTGCAGCCATATGTCATACAAAAATAAAAATATTACCACATTCCACATTCTTATTTATAGTGGAAGTTGATTCTAAGAATCGACTCAAGTTATTGATTCTCGAAAAGATAACATCTTACAAAAATCCTAAACGAATAAGATTTTTATTCAATGAAACTTAACTGGAGTTTTTCACTTCTATGTGGAGTCTTTTTATTCATATTAGTAACCTATAAATTTTCAACTTGAATACTGATGGAGTTATTTTATGGTATTTGTCTGAGGGAATATTTTATGAGGGTTATTTTATAGGGTTATTACACAAACATACTCCACAATGATGAGATATTGTTCGCTTTGGGCCTTAGCCCTCACGGTTTTGCTTTTTGTCATTACCCAAAAGGCCTCTTAATCATTGAAGTATGTTTATGTTATATAAGTTGTTATTTGTTGTCTTATTTTATCGATGTGAAACTTGTTTGTATCCCAAAAATCCTCCCCTCAAACAAGGGACCTAACCTTTCATGCAGCGGAATCTGTCTTTGTATATCACATTATATGTTATGAGTTATGAGGGGTTATGGGGTTATTGGTTATGAGGGGTTATGAGGTTATTGGTTGTCACTGAATCCAATCTGCAGCTATGATACCAGAGGGTTATTTTATAGGGTTATTACACAAACATACTCCACAATGATGAGATATTGTCCACTTTGGGCCTTAGCCCTCACGGTTTTGCTTTTAGTCATTACCCAAAAGGCCTCTTAATCATTGAAGTATATTTATGTTATATAAGTTGTTATTTGTTGTCTTATTTTATCAATGTGGGACTTATTTATATCCCAACAAATACTTTACTTTAGACTTTCAATTTTTATTATTAAACTAGCATAATAATATAATCTAAAGTATAATATATATAACTCAAAGCTTAATTATAATACTTGTCATTCAGTTGATCAACTTTTAGTTTGTTTCGATTTCTTCCATATAAACACGTATTTATATTATAAACATCTATATAATATAAAACATATAAATAAGTAAGTTATAATTATAATAACACTATAATGTTGAAAGGGTAAGAAGTAAAGAAATGGAAGAGATGAAAGGAATTTAGAGAAATCTAATTAATAAACTCAATTACAATGTAAAAAAGTTGGGTGGAAATACACACATTTCTCCCAAAACCAGTAGCCATTAATTTCGTAACTTCCGTGTAGTGGTGTTATAAAGTTTAGTCCAAGTGTTTTTCACCAAAGAAAAATGACTACCATGTTACTTATTTAAACAAACCCTATATTAACTGTGACTTATTTCGTCCGGACAATTAAAACATAGAAGAAAAAAAAAAGACAATAAGAATAATGAAAATGTTGATAAGAAAAACAATAAAATGAAGAAAAAAAAAAAGAGGATAAAAATAAATTAATTAACAAGAAAAGGCAAATTAAAATATCGGAGAAAAAAAAAAGAAGAAAGAATGAAAGTTGTTTTAAAAATGGTAAAGTTATGCAAAGAATTAGTAATATATTTTTTAAATATATAAAACATAAAATAATAGAAATAGAAAAGTAATATAGTTTCTTTTATTTTTTACGATAAATAATAATAAAATTCAAGTCTAGCTGATAATTAAAAACTAAACCCTAAATATAGGTACTCTTTTAGCCTTTGTTCTTAACTTTGTGATGTAACTAACATGATTATTCAACAAGAATCAGACATTTTATTTTATATTTAATGTGTTTGTATGTAAATACTTAATTCCATTCCTTTCTAATTGTCATTTTGTTTTTCTCGCTTCCTTCAATTAATATTGTTTAATTACAAAATGTGCCTGAAATAACTTTTAAAACAAATGAGATAAAAAAAAAAGAAGGTTAATAAAGTTGCTTTGATTTGCATAGTGTTCAATGATTGCATCAAGTCGGATATTGTTTTAACCTTTATTCTTTGTTTTGTTATGTAATCAACATGATTATTCAACAAGAATCAGACGTTTTATTTTATATTTACTATATAGAAACTATATATTATACTACAACATATAGTTATACTAAGGTTTCTGTTATTATTTTTATCAAATCACATAAAATCAATGATTTTAAGATCTGATCAGAATTACATCAAAATACTGATTTAAAATTTAATGATTCAATTATAATTAAATTATGGTCGAATCAATGTTAATAATATATATATATATATATATATATATAATATCATAATATAATACTAAAAATTAAATATAGAAGATAAATTCTATGTAATCTAAATATATACAAATGAATCTAATATATCTTTATTCTATGTTGTAACAATACATATTAACATTTAATAATAATAACAATTTTACACTTTGAATAGTATGAAAAATGACAAATATCCTTAGGTTGATTTTATTTAAAATTAAGAAAATTCAATTTTTGACTAGTCTTTACCGAATTTAAATAGATTTTCCGGTTCTTTAACAAGGCTTTTGTTAAACTGAATTTTGCAATTCATTTGAACATATCATGTGATCGGTTCACTGGTTCCACAGAATTTCAAAACATAGCATAAAACCTTACCATATTGATTAATTAAATCTAGCACCGACATATTTTTATTAATTAATAACCCGAACTAATTAAATAAATACAATCCCTTTTTTTAACAGTATAAATACAATCCTTTGAAACACCCAAATTCACTATAAAAAATTTAAAAAAATACATTAAGACAATGTATTAAAAAAATGTTAAAATTTCTCCTCAATCATTAACTAAATCCAAAACAACAATCAAATGTAAAGACTTCTTTCTCGCTCTTTGGACAAATGGGTGAAAGACGACAAGCGAATCTTGTCATAATTTAATAAAGATATTGCAAAGCTTGATTAAATATTTCATTGTAAAGTGATTTGATCAGTGTTGAATCTAATCAAATGAAATTTCTATCAAGAACAATTCTGAATTAAAAACACAATCTATCATAGCCACTAACTCTATAATTGACCTGGACTTGTTGAATGCAATAAATCAGCAAAATAAACTACATATATCTTTGACATGTGATGAAGAATGTCAAACATTACAATGACAGTCTAATAATGAAACGTCCACCTATGTATGCCCGGGCATTACATATGTATATATATGTATGTTATAAGATGTAAACATTAGTTTTTCTTTAAAGAATCAGGGAATAAAGTTTTACATATGAGGTCCAAGAGGCATGCGACTCATAATTTCTTGGTACACTGATGAACCACTAGACAGGTTAAGGCCACGTTCAGGAATAGTCTCCATGTTTGGCTCTCCCTTTGGCATCATGAAACCCAAATCATTTGCAGAGCGATGTTGATGTTGATGTTGTTGTTGCTGCTGCTGCTGTGCCAAGAATGGATGAACAGGCATGATAGGAAGCTTCGCTTGCGCGTGGCCTAACCCTGACATCGCAAAATTCGATAGCATGGTTTGGTTCATACCAAAGGAGAAGCCATGGGAAGGTCCTAGCTGCTGCCTCCCAGGTAGGTTGAATGAGCCAAGGGAAGGCCTCTCAAGCCTTCCAATGCCATTGTGAACTTGAGATGGTTCAGGTCTATGAACATGGTTCTGAAGAACACCAGAGGCTTGGCCGGAAACGGCGTTGGATGCATTAGCATTGACATGACTGCTTGCACGTGCAGCTGGAACATCATGGTTGTGCTTTCCCTCGTAAGTTGTGATCACAGATTTTAGGTCATGTGATGCTCTCTCCACGTGCTTCCTCACTGTGCACCCTGCATTCGTGCACTTGTAGTAACTCCTGCAGCAACAGTTACATTCAGCTTTGTGACATAAAAGATGTTATTGTTTCTATGAATATGTTTGGATAAACTTAGCATTTCTAGAAGAGCAAAATAGGAAGAAAAAATTTAATTAAGTTCTCTATAAGTTACAACTAGCTAATGCATAAGCTATTTTGTATAAGTTCTATCCTATTAGCTTCCCCAAAATCTTATTTTTTTACTTATGGATAAGCTAGTTTTAACTTATGAAGAAGCTTATTTTAATTTAAAATCCTATAACTTCTGTGCATACACATATCAGATCAGGAGGAGAATGACCACCTTGGGTTGGGGTTTCCTTTGACAACTTTTTGCCCATATTTCCTCCATCGATAACCATCATCAAGGATATCTACTTCACTGGTAGTCTGTACAACAACTCTAGGTTCGCGAATGGCTCTAGTAGCTCCACTCAACTCTGCATATGATTCCAGTTTCCTGAGAAAATAGATCATTGATTTCAATATGTCAACAAAAATTTGTTTTGAAAAATTAAATATTATTGACAAGTACCTTCTCTTGGACTCAGATTCATCTCCTTCCCCATCATAGCCTAGTGATACACTACCATGAGTGCCTTGATCATCTTCATCTTCTTCATTGGAAAAAGTAGATGAAGCATCCACTGCCTCTCCTGAATCAATGTTAGTACCATTTTGAGTCTGCAAATTGGTGGACTGGTTGCAGTATTCAGGGCCAACAGATGCTGATGATGTTGCTTCAAGGTTATCTTGTTTCCAATTAGCAGCTCCAGCTATATTTCCCTTTTGTACATTAGTCCAGCCAAGGTCACCATCACCACCATTTTGTGGTTCAACATGTTCAGGGTTGTCCACTTGCATGTCAGTCTGAAGGTTAACTGAACCTATACCTGACCGGCGATTTGGAGGAGGTTTTGGATGGTTGTGCGCTCCCTTGTAGATGATCTCGGTTATGTGGCCCTCATGAGATCGCTCAACTTTCTTCTTAACCTGACAGTTTGGATGTGTACACTTGTAGTAACTTCGAGGGTACTCACTTCCCTTAACTTGCTTTTGGCCATATTTTCTCCAATTATATCCATCATCAGAAGGTGCACCACCAACACCACCAGACATTGAGTCTCCATTGACTCTTTGATCCCCTTCTTCATCTGCTTGCTCTTCAATTGGTGTAGAATGTTCAGTGCTGCCACCAGCAGCATCGAAAGCCATTTGATCAGCTGAGAACATTTTACTTCCATTATCATTTTGAGGAGGCGATTCGCCAAAGTCTGCCTGAAGATGAAGGCCACTTTTGTTCTCAGTTTGAACTTTGACCGCATCAACACTTTGAGATTGAAAAGAATTTTCTGACTGAGCCGAAACCTCAATACCAGGAAGGGATTGTTGAGGAATTGTAGTTGGATTTATCTGCAAACAGAGGAAGGACTAAATGACCAAAAAGAAGAAATAGAGCTACACAAGATATAGCTGTCAAGTGTCAACTCACTACAAATGGCATGTCATGTTGATTGGAAAAGTAAGTTGTCTAAACAAAAAAAAAATGTATCTAGATTTCCAGTGGTAAAAAAGGATTATTAGAATGTGCTTACCTTTCTTCCAGCCCCGTGATAAAAAGAGGAGCCTGAATCTGTTGCGGGCTTGAAAGCAAATGATGATGTATACATATCAAAGCCATTATCTTTACATTTTTCTAGAGCATCAGATGGTAATTCTGAGTTCCGCATGTTGCTATTTGACATGAACAGGAACTTTCCAGTTGTTGGAGAAGGCTGTGCCTGAAATAGACAGATTCACAGCTCAATAGGAGGCAGAACAATGTCAACAGAACCAGGTATCGGTTTCCTATAACAACAGATAGACCACTATTGGTGCCTCTAACAGAAAGTAAAAGGAAAAGCTATAACTTAGAACTCTGAGAACTACATTTGACACCATGTGTTAAGAGCATAAAAAGTGCCTCATTGCAAGGCATAAAGAGCAGCAAGAATATCAGTGGTTTACAGTTTCCAAATTAGACAATGTATGTAGCATTACAAGATGAGCATCAAAATACCATTACCAAGACAATAGGGTCCTACCAGTTCATTCAAAGTTAAAGTACATACACAGAATTCAGCTATAATTATATACTCCATGTCTGAATGCACTACCTACTGTACAAAAAGTATTTTGAAAATAAAAAGGCACAAGACATTTCACATTTTTTTAACATGTTCTAGAGGATGCTTCAAAACCATAATGTCAGAAAAGAGTTGCCATATTACCAACAGCATGCCCCTATCGAAATTTGGACAGAAACGAAACGCAAGGAAGTAAATGTAAGCAAGAAAATTCCATAAGTGAATCAGACAAGGTGACGAGAAAACTTGAGAACGCCTAAGAAAACGCATATACAAATTAAAGAAATAACCTCAGATGTATCCTCAGATTATCCAAATTACAACATTAAAATTACACAAAAGAATTAAATACACATCAGGAGCGATATCGGTTACGGTTTGTGCCTTGTAGTGTAGCATGCTACTAACAGCTACAGCTAGGATCTATGCTATATCCCTTACACTAATTCCCACATTTTTCTTGTGGTCTGAGAGAATAAAATTACAAATTTGATAAACACATAAACAAGCAACAGCACAAATAAACCAGAGCTCACCAGTGAATTTGCAAGGAAAACCGGAGAATCTAAAAGTGTAGTAGGACTGAGACCAGGTGGGATGGTCAAGTAAGGAGACTGAATGTCAGAATTAAGTGAAAGGTCAGTAGATCTAATGCTTTCTGTATTCAACCTTGGAGCATTGAACCCAGCTCTAGCAGCCATTCTTTCAACAAGACCACCCCGAGAGCTCGACTTCTGCTCGCTCAATTGGGCCCTAGAATCACCGTCTTGTGCCCCATCTTTCATGTTTCCTTTCCCTGTCTCGCTAGGGTCGCGAATGCCCAAAAAGAGATCCCCAGTTCTACCATTTCCAGAATGTTCTGAGATTGATCTTGTCACATTATCTTCATCTAACATTCTAGAAAAAAAGGTCCTTGGACTTGGGCTAGGAAGACCCCAATCGCCAGTAAGGGCAACATTATCATCAATCCCAGCCATTAAGACCTCACCTTAGGGTCACCTAACCCTGCAAAGACCAAATTTTCTGAAGAAAAAAATCATGAATAATGCAAAAACACAAAAACCCCACCTTCAGCTCCAGAACACAAAATGACATGTAAGAACCATCAAAAAAGAAAAAGAAAAGGTAAATGATTTTGTTTACAAACAGACATGCAATTTGCTAATCTGCTGACAAAATAAAAGACACCCTCGTTGCCCACATGAATCATCATAGGACAATGCTTTTAGCTGTAAAAATTTCAAAAAATTCACAACCCCCACTTTGCTCATTCACCATTTGACAAAGTCCCAAAATTATCATTAAAGAAAAGATCCAATTTTTCTTCTTCTTCCAATTCCTCGCCCAACGAAAATAATTTAAAAAAAAAAAAAAAAAAAAAAAAAAAGGGGAAAAAAAGGAATAAAAACCCGAAAAAAAACAGAAATGGGACAAAAAGGAACTAAAAACCGAGCACAAAAAAAACACACCCAATTCATCAATTGCAACGAACAACATTGTTTCAAAATCGATTAAATCACCAAACAAACAAGGTAAAAACACAAAAACAAAAAAAAAAATGAAAAGCAAAGAAAGAGAAAGAGACAAAAGAGAGAGAATGATGAGTGAGTTTACCTAGAAAACGATGAATTTGTTGAGAATATTGAAAGAGAAGAAGCAGCAGCACTATAATCACCTCGACAACAACGGTGGAACCAGAGAAGCGGATCGAAAAACCAGAACCCGACCCAACCAGTTATTTGGGTCCTGTTGGTTCGTTTTTCTTGGTTAATGGAAATTGATCCACCCTGGTTTTCTTACCATGTTGTTGTTGATGTTCCTATCAGTTGTTGTCTGTCTCTGGCTGTGTGTTTTGAAATAATTGTCCAAAAATATACAATCGAAATGATTGTGTTGTTGAAGGAGGAAAAGGAAGAGGAGGAAGGAGAATAGTTACAAAAAGAGAACCCAATTTTTTTATTTATATAAATAAATAAACGAGTTTTTTTTTTTAATACATTAAATGATTTTTTGCATTGTTAATTCCGAAATTAATAAATTATTATTACCACTCTTGTTAAAGCAAAAGGGAGGAAGGACTTTGTGGGGAAGGTGGAAGAGAAAAGAGAGATGATTGAGAAATGGTGGTGGACCTCAAAAATCAAAGGAATCTTTGACACACCAACATATCCTATCTTTAATTCTCTTTTCAGACACTTATTCATTCCGTTTCCATGGTTTTTTTATTTTCCAATTTAGCTTTAATTCTAATCAATAATAGTGCTGCCAAATTCTTGTTCTGTTCTCTTTTACAAGCTATATATCATATATGATGATATATCATAAAATAATACGATACATTTTCTTTTACACCATTTTTTAATTAAATATTCTCTTGAGTGGCACAATTTTATTACAAGACACAATTTATTAAAAAAATATAGTAGTATTTTTATAATTTTTATAAATATTAAATTTTTTTTTTTACTTTTTAGTCTTATTAAATATATATAGTATATATCTTTTTTTTTTTATAAAATCAACAATAAATTTTGTTAATTTTTTTATGATTAAACTTTTGACACGAAATTTAAGAAATACAATTAACATGTTTGACTTTATTAAAAAAGATTGTGTAACTTTTATATGTCATTAAATTTTTTGGATTTCCAACAATAAAATAACCATTAAAAAATAAAAACAACACACTAATTAAAAAATATATTAATATTGATTAAGGATATAATAAAAAAACAATATTTAATGTTATATTGATATTGTAAAAAGACAATTAAATTGAAACAAGAGAAAATTGCTAAAACATCAACCTAAATGAAATCGAAAGAATATAGTAGTACACCATCTATATGATTTTGTAATAAATGTATTGTGATAAGGATAAAAAATGAAAATTTAATAATAAATAATAAATCTATGAATAAAATAGAGAATTCTTATCCATAAATTATAGCATAATTGATAAGTAACCTTAGTCTTTTTCTAATAAGAAATTACTTTACTCTTGAGCACATATTAGAGTTTTATTCTTAATTAATGTCGATGAACAAACATTTATCGAAAGAAATTAATCTTTTAAATGAATTTTAATATCTCAAAGAATTAACAAATTTTTTACTTAGAATACCCGACTTAAAAAAGAAATAGTGATCTTTTGTTTTGTAATACATGATAAGTTTATAACTAACATTGATCTGTATTATTTATTTGATTAATTAGCCATCTTCAGTGCAGTTAACATAAGTTAAAATAGGGTGAAATGTCACTTTTTTATCAATGATTTTGCTTAAGTAAGAATGGCATGATGATGTGCAATATTAACGTTAGTGGCAATGTCATATAAGGATTTTCAATTCTTCATTAATTTAAATAAATAAATAAAATTAAAAAAAAAAAGACAGTAAACATGTGCTAGTTAAAGTAATGATTAGTTGTTTGTTGGGTGTGTGAGAGTGAGAAATAGTTGGAATCCTGAAATGTAACGAACGAAGCAGCAATGGCTATGGCAATGGCATTGGCTATGGCTATTCATCCGTATGAGTTAGTTTTGCTATGCAGTGGTTGGTTGTCCACTGCTTCATATCAACCATTTCCCATTTTTGGCCAACAAATCACGCTTTGTTTGTGTGACAAATTTGGCACTTGATAATATCACCCTTTTGAACTGTAAACAAATTTACTTTAATTTTCATAGATGCTACTTATGGTATATAATCTATCACACTTTATCAACAGCACTCTTTATTTTCTTTATTAATAAAAAAATTTGAATATAAGACTTTATGTATGTTATATATTACTCCTATCACTAAACTTGTTACAGACATTTTAAGCACACTCTTTATTACTCTCATCTCATTTTTATTAAGATTCAAATCCAAAATATTATTTAGTCATTTATGTAAGAGTCAATTTAAAATGTCTTTTGTATTAATTTTTTTTTTATACAAAATATACTCTTAATTAAACTTATTTATTTTGATTTGATAAGTAATTGACAGGTAAAATTGTTGTTAGAAGTAATTTTAAAAACTATAATTTTATGATAAATTAAATATTATAAATTAAATTAACTAATTTTTTAATGAATAATTAACTAACCTTCTATCTCAAAAGAAAGAAGAAGAAAAACTAACCTTACTCCTAATGAATTAGGTAATTTAGTTTTATGAAAAGAGACGGAAAGATATGTTAGTTAAAACTTATTAAAAATAAT